GCCTTGGCGGATTGAGGAAAGCAGATACCTCGATAAAAGCTTATCATCGGTTGGTGGACCAAAAATTCGACATAACAACCGATTGCACGTACGGCTGAGACCATTGTGTTATGTCTAAATCCCCGATATATATATATATATATATATATATATATATATAACTACCTAGAAACATCTGAAATGACAAACGTATGCAATCATACAGACGAGAGAGAAGACAGTTTTTTTTACCAATTTAGGACTAAAAGTGTCGATGTACTGAATTCACCATGTTAAAAGCCGTGATGAAGAAATTCGCTGCAACGTGGGGACCGAGGGGCGCTCTAGAATCATCAAGATCATTCGGCGACCGATCTTTTGACAATAAAGAACAAGTAATATTGGTGGCACACGAAATTTACCAGCGATGAGTGAATGTCTGTAGCCTGAAGAAAAGTCATCCCTCCTAACAACGGCTACTCACAAGGAATGGCTTTCGAAATCTTGTGTATGTGTGCGCGTGAATTTGTGAATCTCGGTCGGACAAACTGTTGACAAACACTTAGTTGGCGGTCCATGAGTCTTGTCATCAATTTTTTCCGGTGATCCGCTAACCACTCCCTCAGAAAGTTTGAATTTTACCGAATTTTCATAGTTCAGACTGGTCTGTCTCGCGATGCCGCATTTTCGGAAGTACGCCGCTGCTAATCAAACAAAATTTGTTTGAGACTGCTTGAGGTGAGAGACACTTTGAGATAACAGTCTTGACTAATCCTTTTCAAAAGTTTGAATGATGCGTAGTTTACGACTGTCATCACGCGGCATACTAAATTAAACTAAAATTAATTTGGTTTTTCACGAGAGACTCAAATGAATCTCTCGTTTATGATGTTCTACAACAGGCCGCCTCATAGTAGGTACGGTACGATATTCGAGACATCCCAGTATATTTTCATGAAGCGGTCAGTAAGAACACGCTGCTGTAAGTGAGCTTCAAAATTCGAGAAATACACTCATTTGCAAACTAAACTGATTTGCAAATGAGTGTATTTCTCGAAAACAGTGCAATGTGGGTTCAAGTAGATCATAAGGTTGACGGAAACTCGGGGACTGCGCCTACCTGATGAGCCCCAAGAAGGGCGAAACAGGTCGTGGGCTGTCGAAGAGTTTTCAGCAACCTTGTGGGTAGTTTCCTTCATGAAAATAAACTAAAATTAATTAAATTAATCAAAATTAAATCAAACCTAAATAATTGCCATTTTGTCTCACATTCGGACGTGGGTTTTTTCATCCCGAATTTATTTTAGCCTTGGCTGCAGGGATGTACTGATTAACTGACCCTCAGTTACCATCAGTACTTAAGTGAAACATGTGATGACACCATAAATCAATAGGACGAATATATTCGTTACATTTTTTTCATATAATTTCTGATGAATTTTGCCACGTCAACTAACGAAAACTCTACATACTGGGCCACTAAACAAAGGACAAAATAATCTACTTGAGTACCACAGAAAATTTCGAATTTTAACCAATTTTAGGGTGTGCGTTTATTTTGACACACGGTAAATCTGTTCTCACGTACTTTGTATACAATTGGGAACGAAATCTTTGAAAAGTAGCATTTCCCATCTTTGTTAATACAACTTGGGATCCGAGATATGTTTTTCGGATTTAGAATTTTTTTATATTGTCTTGAGTAACATTCTAAGGCCAAGTTGACGAGCCCCGTGCACATGTCACTCACCAGCCAGGAGTGACGCCGAGAATTCTGACGCGTACGCTGTTGTGCGATCCTCGGCCGACCCATGGTGATTGTCGATGTATCGGTAAAACGAAGATCTAAAATTCAATTTATAGATGTAATGCACTCCTCATAAGGTTGCTGAAAATTCTTCGACATCTTAGAAACCCCATAAACAAGAGATTCAGCTGGGTCCTAACTGAGTCTCTCGCAAAACCGAATTTGTTTGCAATCTAAAGGTCACTTATAGTTCCTGGAGAATTCGTAACCGGATAAGTTCAACAGTGGTCCCCAATCACTCAGATAATATGGCAGACTTTCGCATGTTCGAAGAATAAGGAAAAACCGTCAGCTCATCGGTATTACTTTACATTCAGTTTTACAAACAAACAGGCTGTTGAAACAGTTGTACCTTCAATGTCTCCTTCCCCACATCAACACAGTGGAGCTGCCTTCATTCGCATTCCAAATACCCTTTCAGATGTGTTCTCAGGAGAGTGAGGAAATCCCCTGGATGTATTCCCCCCCCCCGCCCCCCCCCCCCCCCGCCCCATTTTGGTGTGTATGTCCATACGTGAATATGACATACTGGTGACATAAATCTGAATCTGCACGTTTCACAATTACCGCCAACTGGTGGTCGTTCCAAGTTCTGTACTTTTTCGTCTGCTTTCCCGTCCAACCTACTAAAATGTTACTTTGCATGATCCTCGCAATTGGGTGAACATATAATACACGTTGTCTGAAACGGCAGAGTTAAAGGGTGCATCGTTTTTTTTATCAGCCCAGCTGAACAGTCTCCAAGTTTCGTTGTGCCTTCGGTCAGGTTTTGCCAGCTGTTGTCACGACGCGCACGTCATATTCTTCCGCTGGACCAACACACTGCAGGGGAGAAACGGTACTTTCGTTGTAAACGATTTTTACCATGATCCTACTCTCCCCACCCCAGTTTGCAGCAAGCAAGCAAGGTGGACATGTAGGGAACCAAATAACTTTTCAACTTTCGACAATGAGTAACACAATCGAAGCACGGTTTGAGAACAAGACACAGAGTTTGTGTCTGATTGATTCCCGCTCAGCTACCCAGCTTTCAGTTTTTAATGTACCAAAGGCAAGAAAAACGCTATATCTCTCCAGGTTCATGCCACGTTTTTTTCTTGCAGTTAGCATGTTTAGAACCACTGAGGTCGCGCAATCGTTTGCTAGAGTCACTGCATCGTGCACAATACATACCATACGAATTGCCCTTTGAATCCAAAGTGTAGCATTCCGTCGGTGCAATGTGTTGTACAAACTGATGGTGTGTCACCTGGATGACGACAGTCGTCCTTACTCACTTCTCCACACTTTATTCATCACAGGGTGAAAAAGTCCCCAGGCTCGGGCTATTCCAGTCCTGGCAAAGGTACAGTGACCTCGGAGGGACAGTCCAGACAGTCACGCGTTGATACCGAACCAAATCACGCCAGATCCCTATCTTCACCAGCCGAGAATCGATCGAAATCTCGCGGCCAGCCAATCCCATTACACACCAACCTGGACGACAGAAAAGAAGATCATAGTATGAACTTGTTTATGGTGGAAGTCAAACTGTTGAGTGATGAAGAGGCGCCTCTACAACTAGAAGTCACGGTAAGTTGAAAATCTGAGGAGGTCCTTCCGGTGACCGAATACGATTATTAGTGAAACTACGTGTGAACCAGGTAATCATCTCTACTCTTTTTTCTACGATATTTGCATTCAATCAGTAGTGGAAGTGAGGGCTCTTAGTTGTAGCCGTCACAAAGAGACTGGACCTTAACTTGGTTTGATGGTTTGTGCGCCTCCGTGACCCGTTAAGGCGTACTGCAGACTGTCCGTGCTTCGCTTGCAGAGTCTCTGATCAACGCAGTCTCCCGGCCCGTTTGAGGATTGGAAGATGTTTGGCAAATGGTTTCATAGAAAAACGAATATTCACCTGCATTTCCGGCCAGACACAGCTGCCTTTCTGCTTGACTTTTGAGCCGAAGCCTTAGTCTGGATAGCCTAATGGTCCTCCGCTCTCTGGTGGTATCTCAACCCACGTAGAACCATTAATTGCACACTTACAGATAATCTCGTGCGAAATCGAGAGTCTCGTACTGCCACCAGCGGAGTCGCCTTACTTGCTGCTTACTGCTAGGCAGGTAAGCAGAAAGAGGCAGTTGCTGAGGCTTACTTTCTTTGTCTGTCGCCCACTTTTTCTCTCCGTTCTCCATTGATAACTCCTTCCTTGTAGGATGACTCCGTTTGTCCTGCATCGGTATTGGCGCCACGTCACCCGGCAGTGACATCCTTAGGCAGCTCAAAATCAATCTTTTAACCCCACGCCCAGTCTGTCTAACTGCTTTAATGTCCACACTCTGGTGCAACCAGATTAACAAGCTTCTCTTGCTCACATACTGGATTTGCATGATACTGATGTGTGTTGTGTATTAGAAACAAGAATTCGAGATGCAAGCACATTGACTGGGCTAACTGCTTCATCACTCTACATCCCCCTCCAGCTGTTCATCTCTGGTGATCCAGAGGCCGTTGCGGTGGGATATGCAGGGGTTGGTATTGTCCCAGGCAGAAGATTCCTTACTTGAATGGATACCCATTACCAGCCACCTCTGCGCGGTTCATCCGGCAAAATTCATAGAGTAGTCTCACAAGCGGGCGGTTGATCACTGTCCGTCTGACGTGTCTGCTTACGATCCAGCTGACTGAAACTCTGGCACATTCAAAGTTTTAATCACGTCTTGAATACATTCTCACAGCAGCAAAGCACCAGTGTTGAACACTTTATGATGTCCAAAGTTTTAATCACGTCTTGAATACATTCTCACAGCAGCAAAGCACCAGTGTTGAACACTGACGTTATGATGTCGATAACGACGCTGACGTTTCGAAAGTGGATTTAGAGACTACCCCCAATGGAGAGATCAGAAGCCATGGTCCCATTAGTACTCGGCGTCCTCAGCAAGCGAGATTCAAACACGGGCTAATCACTCACTTACATTTAGTTGGGCAACTATTGTGACGCTGGAACAACTGAAATACCCAGAAAATCCACTGTCATTCAGCAACAATGGAGTGAATTTGGACGACGCGCTTCTTTGATCATTCTTCTCCATCGTATCGTAAAAAGTTTAGAGTTACTCAAAAAATTACTGAAATATAAAACGTGCTCCGAGGTGCTGTATTGCCCAAGAACACTGAAAACAAATACGGGGTAATTTTTGTGAAATTCGACAAGGAAACGATCGAACACTTTTTTTGAAATTTTACGGATGAACATGAACCACAGTTTTGGTTTTGTTTCGTATGTCATCATACAATATGACTAAATGTTCTCACAGTCTGAATTCACACAATTGGTTGGAAAGTTTCACACAAATTCCCGACAATTCTGATAGACGTGAGCATTTTACAGAATGAAAGCGACGGACTACATTAATTATAGTCGTTCAGTTGCACAGTGTGTGCTTTTCGAATATTCCCACCCCGCTGTAGAGCCATACAACATGACTTGAAGGTTCCAACCATAGTTGTTCTCCGTTTCCCCAGTATAACGAATAAATTAGTCCTCGCGGACAAGGCTATACATCTCTTATTATTAGCGCCTCAGTTCAATGAGCACACCGAAGTTCTCCCGTCGGTATTTGTGTCTAATGAATGTTTCAAGATAAGGGAGTAAAACCTACTTTATTTCAATGTGGAATATCAACTGAACAGTAGTTTCATATCTGTCAGAATTGCAATCACAAATTCATGATAGATTCGTCAAGGATCGTTGTAAGTTTTTAGTCAATAAAGTCTCCAGTAACAATTGAACTTGTGGTGTACTTACGTCTGACGCCATAAGTAATTTTATACTTTATTTAGCTTTCAACGAAGAGTTCTCTCAGTGAATTAAGCCAGTCTCTCCCGAGAAGCATTACTCATCCTTATGAATAGTCATCAGTAATGCTAATCTCACGAAACTTCATAGAGTATCGATTAGAACAATTAACCGTTTGCCCATGAGCCGTTGCTCAGTAGTGTGGTTGACTCACATGAATCAGGTGGTCACGTGTTGACTGTCTAGTAGCCTGTTGATCCAAACTCACGTGACTTTTGAACTCCCAGGCTTGACCGTTCATCATTTTATGGCTTGGTCGGTTCGTTCACGATGCACTAGAACATAAATCTCGACGCTTCATTTTTTAATTGCTGAAACTAGCCACGCTGTGATAGTTGTGATAGTTGATGGACACCAAGAACATAGGCGTAGACGCGCAGACACAAAATCACAATGGGTTGTTGCTATTGATTGACAGAAAATCTTGCAGGAAAAGGGAGTTCCATTGTTCTGCAGGAAAGCCGGAGTTAGCAAACACTGGGATTCGTGACGCCAATACCACAGGCCGACTTGAACTTGGAAAAAAGCGAAATCCTAAACACCAATGTTGACGCCCAGGGAGACAAATGACCACTTTTAAGACTGTGTGGGACAACAAATCAAGCTGTAACTGAACGGTACAGTACTCGACATTGTCATGCCAGTTCCAAGTGCATACAACCCAAAGGATTACCACTTTCAAAACAGTTGGAGGCGTCATTGAATAATTTTCAGCTTTCTCGTGTACATGTTTTGTTTTCAGCATTTTTCTCAGTGTACAAAGTTACAAACAACTGCCCGCAAATTTATGTCCACTTGCTTTATTTTGTCAGCCGTTCCAACTTCTCCACTCCTCATGTCACGTTGAGCTTTTAGCCAGTTTTACTTTGTTTTGCTCCGTTGCCACCAACGTATTGCCGAAGAGTACCGATTCCTTACAAATCGATAATTCAGATAGCATAACAATTTATGTGGGTCTTTCAGGGTCCTAGAACAGGCTAGAGAAGCGGACGGGAAGCCATTAAATAAATCAATTAAAAAAATCAATGCTTCTTTTATGGCGAGAGTGTTTTACGTATAAGATCGTATAAACTAGGTGCGCTATAAGGTCAGTGCAGCGCAATGAGAACGGTTGATTCCGAACTTGTCCATTAGATTAGCGGTTTTCTGAAGTTGAATTCTACCATATTTTACTAAATTTCTTCAGGCTGAATGGAACTATGTTGGTAGTCAGTTCACTAAAATGTAACTAGCTCATTTTTCCTACTGTTGGCGTTCATGGATGTGTCGTCATGGATATTGAAATTTGAAGATCGAGGGTCTTTTTTGGACTCAGGTATGAGAGCGTTCCTGAGTTGATTGTTAGCATCGATATTTCGTAATCACAAAATGCCTTGTTGTTGAACGTGTTACACTAAACTTATCAGGAACTTGAGCGTAGCTCGTTTTCACTTCTTTACGAGTTTCTACTGCCCACCAGTGGACACGATTTCATACCTAACCTTTCGAGTTTCTCATCGGATGGAATCGTAAAACCGCTTAATTCCCGACTAATATGCATCCGGCTATAGCCAGTGTCCACTGATGTTTTACACAGGAGCATGTTAATCGAATCATCAGTAAACATGTTCAGCCAAGGATCAAAATGGCGGCAAAATGTACCGCGGAACCTTGATTTACGATGTGCCATGCCCTCATCGTTTAGAATTTCCGACTCCCAAATGCTTTTATTCGCTGCCCGCGGACGGACCAGTTCCCCGAGATTCTTCATTGTGTGAAAGGCTGAGAAGTGGGTCTTGTGATCGCCCTCATCGGAAAAGCTTCTACGCTGAAATGATCGTAACGGTGGTTTCAGTTTGTCATGAGAAAGTGTGAAGGAAGTGTTATGGTAAACTAGAGTGAATGAGCTTCGATGTCTAGTGAGGACAACCTCATATTCCGCGGTACTCAAGGAGAAACAGTTGGGTCGTGCTGATGGTGGAAAAACATGTTGTACGTTTTGGGATTGAACGAATAAAGGACCCACACGCTGAACTGGTTGGTTTAGTACTTTCGGCAGTGACCAAATTTCCACAAAGACTCCAGAGTCTCTTGCAATTCAGGATGTCACGATAATAGTTTCATTTATCCCAAAGTGACACCATTTTTTCAAACGGTGGCTTAATGTGAAGTCCGCACTTTATCTTAAGCCAAATTTTGTTGCAACAGCTTAAAGTAAAAAAACAATGATACGAAACTAACTGATACGAATAACCATAGGCTACTTTGACTTTTGACAAACCAGCAAAAGCACTCAATAGAGGTTTAAATCTACTTCAAGAGCTGAAGCACCGTGACAATAAAAACATGAGGGCTAAGCTTATTTCAAATAAACTTTGGCTCAAAAGTTTACTTTTATCAATGGAATCAATACAGCTCATCTTCAGAACTCCCAAGGGTCCAACTCACTAACTCCAAATAGCACGATGCTATGACTCTTTCCGCATTCGAGGCCTCTCCAGGAAATCGATTTTCCGGTTGTATTATCACTTAGTGAATCTCGCATAGTACTGGTTCCCATGCTCATACGAATAAAGCTCAGATTATGAAGAAAATGTCAACTCTGGTGTCCATTTTATTAGGCCAATGGTCACTGGTAGAGATAAGTTTCATGACTTGACTTTCCTAGTCTTGCACTGTCATCATACTCACCTTAGGATGAGTCACCTACAAGAGCGAATTTGGGCAATCTCTGTTTCAGTATATTTTT